AACCCCTGAACCCTCAACCCCCCAACCCTAAACCCTAAACCCTAAACCCGAGCATCGGGTCTTAGTGGTGGGGCTTCCTGGGGTTCGAGTCTTCGGACCACAAGGCTGTACAGCCCCAAACCCTACAAAATAGTAGGTTATGACGTTATGACCCTTCAATTAGAGGGTAGAACCCAGGTTTCTGGATCATCAGGTAGACCTTAGACTTATATCTTGAGTTTAACCTCTAAAATGCCCCAAACCTTACACCCTGAACCCTAAGCCTGACACCCTAAACCCTGAAACCCTAAACCCTGCAACCCCAAACCCTAAACTGGGCTTCGGGGTGCTAGGGCACTCTTACGAGATTCCATCCTTCCTGCTTGGGTCTTGCCATCCCACCTCGGTGGCGGAAGCGCCTTGGGAAAGTGCGTGTCTCTTCGTTCGCTGCGCCGACTCCTGGACTCTCTCCGAAAACCGGGGGAGGCGTTTGGGGTTTGTTCGGGGTGCTTTAGACCCTAAACCCTAAACCCTAAACCCTAAACCCTAAACCCTAAAGCCCTATATCAACAAACACAGAAAAAAAAAAAGCGAGACAGGAGTTGAGGGAGAATGGGATCTCTCGCGACTCCGGTCCGAGTCGGCCCCTGGTCTTTTGGGATTTCGGATGTGCTTACCCGTCGCTGAATACTTGGAGGTTCATGGGTAGTTATAAATGGAGTTTTAAGTAGGGTAACTATAATTATAACCCAACCTAGGGGACTTATAACCATACTTATAACTACCTATGAACCTCCAAGTACCTATAGTCTCCATTGTAGTTCCTTTTGGGGGATACCTTATAAAATAAATATGTAATAGGTTAAACCAAATAAAAAAAGGAACTACAATGGAGACTATAGGTAACCGCCATGACCTAAAGCCACGGCTGAGCTCCAAAACGCGAAACCCCACAGTGTCAGATGCTGAACGTTGAGCCCCGTACCCGGGCGAGTCCTGCATCTGAGTTAACAACGATGCTTGAGCTTCCTCACCGGCAGAGTCCGTGGAGAGCAACAGCGTGAAGCTGTATCCTGGGTTGTATCGGATCTTCCTTTAAAGCCACCTCGCAAACCTAGACACACCCACACTGAACCCGAACCCCCAAATCCTCCGCAAACCCAGGATCAAAACTCCTCAACTTGTTCTAATCCCTAAATGCTCCACCGTACTCCCCAAATCCGAAGCCCCCGAAAACCCTCCACCCCCCCTCCTCCTTGCAGAACCCTCATGAAAGCCCCGTAACAACCCTTGGAAACTTTCCCGAAACCCTGCAACAACCCGAAACCTCAGACCGGGTCGGCGTTTCCCGACTCCGGAATTCAAAATTATGAGTCGATTTAAGGCCGAAGGTTGAGGTGGATGTGTATACACACTTGCATGTACGTATGCATGAATGTATGTATGCATGCATGCATGCATGTCGTAGCTGTACTATCACATACCTCTACGAACCTCATGATATCTCGGCCTCGTGCCACCGTCGGATCCGGCAAGAAGGTGACGCCCACTTCGCCGCCGACCTGTGAAATGCCTTCCAGGCCGTCCGGTGCATTGGGGAGGCTCCAGACTGTTCAGGGTCTTCGGGTTTGGGTGTAGGGTTTAGGGTTTAGGGTTTGGGGTTTAGGGTTTAGGGTTTAGTGTTTAGGGTTTAGGGTTTGGGGTTCAGGGTTGGGGGTTTCGAGCCCTATGACTGTAGCGTTTAGGGTAGAAGCCAGAAGGTATGCACTTCAAGTAGTGCACCACGGCTCCTAGCACCAACCAATCGGAGTTCACTCTGCGCCGTTTGAGACTAGCTCGACTTCTAGCTTCAATCCAGATTGCTCCGGGACTCTCTCGGCTTAGATCCTAAACCCTAAACCCTAAACCCTAAACCCTAAACCCTAAACCCCAAACCCTAAACCCTAAACCCTAAACCCTACACCCTCCCCTCTGTTCAGGCCTTCGAGCTCGCCGGCCAAAGCCACATCCATGGAGCCCGCGACGCCCCAGCGTGGCTCGCTGGCCGGCAAGAAGGCCGGATACTCCTGGGAGACTTCATGAGGCTGGATGAACGGGCTCCGAGTTTACGGTTTAGGGTTAGGCGGTTAGGGGTTAAGGGTTTTTTTTTAAATGCAATAGCACCCTTTCTCTCGCAAGAAGTCAGAAGACAGTTTAGGGCTTAGGGTTTAGGGGTGTAGAGGTTTAGGGGTTCAGGGGTTGGGGGTTTGGGCTTCAGAGTTTCTGGGCTTCAAGCCCTGTGCAGAATTTTCATGGGACACCACTGTGCCAAAGCAGCAAGGCAGCCTCACCCCTAATGCGCCAGTACAAGCCTGTTCCAAGAGAGCTCCAGTAGTAAGACCCATGTTCAGAGCCCCAATAAGAACCAGGGCAGTCTTTGGCAGGTTCCTGTATCCTGCCTGGTTTAGGGTTTAGGGTTTAGGGTTTAGGATTTAGGGTTTAGGGTTTAGGGTTACTGTATCCTACCTTAAGACACGCCGAAAGATTCCTACGTTACTTTGGCTCCTTTCTTGAAGGACGCAGCCCTGAGTCTAAGGCTCACAAAACTAATATTCTAACGAGCGAAACCCTAAAGCCCGTAAAACCGGTTTGGGGTTTAGGGATACTCGGAGGTTACACATTATCTCACATACATACGTACAGACATACATGCATGCATACATACATACATACATACAAAAATACATACATACATTTATCTATGTACGTATGTGTGTATGTGTATATATATATATATATTTATTTATTTATTTATTTATTTATTTATTTGTTTATCTTCTTATTTATTTATATTTATATTTGGATTTATATTTATATGTGAGCTATACATATAACATATATATATATATATGACCATATATTTTTACATGTGTATATATATATATATATATAAATGTGTGTGTGTGTGTGTGCATATCCGGTCCTCCTTGAAGTCGAAGTCCAAGGAGAATCCGGCCTCCGGCTCCTTGTTCTCCAAGGCCGACTCGTAGAAGGAGGTGGCGCCGAACTCGATGTCCATTACCTGTGGCTCAGGTTCTCGGGAGCTGGGTTTAGGGTTTAGGGTTCAGGGTTCAGGGTTTAGGGTTTAGGGTTCAGGGTTCAGGGTTCAGGGTTTAGGGTTTAGGGTTTAGGGTTTAAAACTTCCGAGTTCTTTTGAGTAATGGGCATGTACATCATCATGCCTTCTTGATGACGATGGTGCCTTCTGGTAGCTTACATAAACTTACCTTCCATAAGAAGAACCCAGTTACGAGGTTCGGGAGCACCACGGTCCCATCCTTCTCTCCAAAGAGAAGGCCGATGCACAGGGAAAAAGAGAAGGCGACGAAGGACCAGTCGAAGCACGTCGAAACCTGTAGGCCCCAAGTGCTCCTTGCTTTGCCAATAATGACAGTTCCGGTGGCTTCGAGTAGAAATTAGGGTATATCGTGTTTACAGTTTAGGCCTTGGGGTCTAGTCTGGGGTCATTAAAACTTTCACAGAAGAACCCAAAAAGCTTCAAGGTAGGCTGTTGGAGGGCTAAGGCTCTTGGGAATCACGCTGGGCTTGAAGCACTGGCATTCCTTCGCTTGACCAGGGTCGGGGTCACCCATGACGCCCGTGCCGCACTGGATATCTCCGGTGGCCATACTCGTGCTCCACTTGTCACCTTGCAGACTGAAGCCGAAACCCTAAACCCTAAACCCTTGCCCCTAAGCCCTAAAATGCGCAGACTAAAGCCGAATCCCAAAGCAACAACACCCTAGGAGCTGAGGTACCGTTCTCCTACACGGTTTTGGGGCTTAGGGTCTGGGGCTTAGGGTTTAGGGTTTAGGGTTTAGGGTTTAGGGTTTAGGGTCTTGGGTTAAGGTTTATAGGGTACAGCCCCAGAGGAGCAACCCATTATGTAGGCAGGTGAGCCCCTATACAAACCTTTAAAAAATTGATATCAACATTTTCGGAGTTGCCATAGCCGAAACGGACCTGGCCATTGCAGTTGCCTGGATTGCTGTTAAGGAATTTAAAAACAAGTTACATAATGGGGATATATAGCAGATAACAGGGCTTTCCTTATTACAGGAACTTGATTAAAGCTCCTTAACAGCGACTTAAACCCCTAAACCCCTAGATCGTCCGACGACCGCTTCATAAACTCCCAAACCCCTAAACCCCTACCCCCCCAAAACCCCTAAACCCCTAAAGCCCTAAACCCCTAAACACATAAGCCCCATACCCCTCTAAACCCCCTAAACCCCCTACACCCTTAAAGCCCCAAACCCCTAAACCCCTCAAGCCAGCTGCAGGTGGATGAGCTTGTGCAGCTCGGGAAAGTGGGGTGAGCCACGTTTGCACAGGCACAACGCTCCCATGAGCCGCTCTCCACCTGGGTAGTTTAGGGTTTAGGGT